ATTAAATAAAAAAAAGTACAGGATTGGCAGAGATTGGGTTTTATAATAAATTACCCTGTCATCCCAAATTTTTCTGAGCTTAAGTTTCTCTGACTATACAATGCTCACCTGGGCCCCTTCTAGATGAATATTTTTCCTTTGTGTTTTGAGTTTTACTTCTTGTACTTAGCAGAGCTGGTATCAGGAGTTTGAGATCTTTCCATCTGTTCCTCAGATATTTTGTCAGGGTTGTAGGTATTTCCTTTCCTCGCTGCACTAATTAGGGTGGCAGAGTTTGGGGACAGAGAGTCCTCACTGAGGCAGAGATGAGTGAGGAGCGTCTTGGGGAGGGGAGTGGAGACGGACCTTCCGCTGAGCACTGAGTGCCAGGTGCCTGTACAGGACACCTGTCCTGCTGAGTGCCACATGCTGGCTCTTCATGGATTTTATCTGAAACTCCCCCACAGTGTCCTTTTAAAATGGGTGAAAACGCCAGCTTGCCTCAAGTCGAAAAGCTCCGTGTTTCCATTGAGTTGTACATGCAAAGAGGAAGGCATGTGAGTCTTTTCGCAAGGAATCAGCTGTTCATCAAATAGTGCCAGGCACCGTGGGGCCAGAGTGATGCTGAAAGAGCCGTGCTGTTTTGAACTTTGTTCACGATCTTATAGGGACAACTTTGAATGAAAAATGAAATCTGAAGTATAACATTTTGAGGATAGTTATAGAAAAATTGCATGTGAAACATAGGGTAATGTATCTTGGAAGGATTAAAAAAAAAAAAACCTTCTAATAACGTATACTATATACCCAGAAAAGTGCACATTTTGATGATGTTTCACCAGTTTGACACACGCATGTCACACCCACGTAACCAGTACCCCGAAGCAGAGCACGGCCTGTGCCCAGAGGCTCCTGTTTCCCTCCCCCACTCTCACCAAAGAACTGCTCTCTGACTTCTTCAGTGTGTATGAGTTTTTGCCTGTGTCTGTACTTCACATAAATAGAATCCTACAGTCCGTACGGATGTGAGTCTGGCTTTTCCTCGGTGTTATGTGTGTGAGTTATCTGTATGGTGGTGTGTAGTTACCGGTCTTTCATTCTTGTTGCTACAGAGGATGTCACTGTGCGGTTAGACCACTCTTTACTCATCCATTCTCCTGTTGACAGGGGTTTGGAGAGTTTTTAGTTTTGCCCGTTAGGAATTGTGCTGCTGCGAACGTGTCGGTTCATAATATTTTCATGAGCACACGCATGCCTTTCTGTTGGGTCTGTGCACAGGGGTGCCTTTTTGGGGTCGCAAGGCAGTGCCAAGTAGCTTTCCACAGCAGTTGAACCAGTTCGTTCTCCAGCCGGCTTCAAGTACGAATTCTGGTTGCCCCCTCTCTTAGCCGACGCTTGGTATTTTCTTCTTGGAAGTGTTTCTTTTAGAAAAGAATTCTTCCTAGATTGTTTATCCATCTGAGCTGATCCCTTCTCTAATAAATAAAAAAAGAGGGAGGAATAACCCTACCTAACAAAATACCTGCTGGTGTTTGAGACCTCAAGAGACTGCAGGTCAAACACTCAGGTTGCACTAGGCAGGCGCAAGCATCGTGGTTTTACCAAATGTGAGAGAGTCTTCAACTCCGCTTTTCTTGAGTCACTTCAAAACAATACGGGAAGAGAAAATGTAAGATCATTACTTTCTAAGAGGAGATTAATATTAAGAATTTGAAGCTGAATCTTTAACTTTTAAACAGCGAAAGGAGGGTGTGGGTAGGCGAAATGGGTGAAGGTGGGCAGGGGCTGCAGGCTTCTAGTTAAAAGATGAATAAGTCCTAGGGATGTAATGAAAATAAGAATTTTTAAAAGATGAATCTCATATGCAGACGTGATCGTTTCCCCCTTCAGTTTCTCTACCTACAAGTGTTTACCTTTGAATTCCAGTGTCTTCATCTCTTCTCTCGGTCTCATAAACTGATGCCATGTGCTTTTCAGGTGGTTCTTAGGCTGTTTCTTTATGAGAATGTGTAGTGTATAAGTCTTTTTTTAGACATAGGTAAATATTTTGTTATAAACGTAACAACCACTGGATTGTTTAGGTTGGTCCAGCGTGCAATGGCTCCTTTGGCAGACACCATTTTTAATACTTGATGCAGTTTTTTTTGTGGCAGGCAAAACTGATAAGATTCAGAAATAATATCTCGATACCTGCGGTTGTACCTTGACTTATATTTCGGTAGCCAGCATAATGCGTGGGTGGGGTCCTGATAATAGAATTTTGTTTGAAACCATCACTCAAATAAGTTAGGAAACTAAGACGATGCTTCAGGAAAAAAAAATCAGTGTGTTTCAGGCATGAAAAATGATGTTGGCAGCTACTTGTATTTAATTTTGTTTGAAACCATCACTCAAATAAGTTAGGAAACTAAGACGATGCTTCAGGAAAAAAAATCAGTGTGTTTCAGGCATGAAAAATGATGTTGGCAGCTACTTTAGTATTGAAGTGGCGAATTAACCCTTTCTTAAGCTGAGCTAACTTCTGAGCGTTTATTAAACTCCTCTGGGCTTAAGGGGATGCTTGGCGAAGTGTAGCACCCCTCACACTTATAAATACTCACTGACAGAGTTCGTAAAAAGTTACTAATAGCACGTTACCGCACATGAACGGTCTTCCCCTTTCGTTTTCAGAGCACCCTGAGTCACAGCAATCCCGGTTTGAGATGTCCTGCCCATCGGCAGGTGTCACCCAAGGTTTTCTTTATATCCCCCTTTGACCCGGCCATTCTTAGCTGCTGGAATGCTGCTGGGCGGCCTCTATCCCTAGATACTCCCAGGTGTCCCCTAAGACAGTTTCGCTTCTGGCCGCCTTGAACTCCTTCCCCAGCCCTAGTTTTGTCATTGCTGCTCGACTCTGGGATAGGACCTTTGGATGTGGGTTGCAGCGGTTCACTCAGGGCGGGGCCGTGGCGTTCTTCTTGGCCGATAGTGTCTCTCTGCCTCACTCTCACCTTGGAACTGACTGGTCCTCTCTGGAAACTGACCTTTGCTTCATAGCGACCCTTTTAACTAGAAACCAAGCTGTTTGTGTAGAAGTTTCCCATGTACAGATATCTTAGTTCGGGCTGCTGTGACAAACTAGCATAGATTGGGTGGCTCATAAACAATAGAAATTTATTTCTATCATTCTGGAGGCTGGAGCTCTATCGGGCTGCCAGCGTGTTGGGGTTCTGGTCAGGCCTGTTGCCTCATTCATAGACGGCATCTTCTAGCTCTTTCCTGACATGGCAGAAGCAGGGGCTGGTTAGCTCTCTGGCCTCTTTTAAGGGCACAGATCCCCTGCACGAGGGCTCAACCCTCATGACCTGACCATCTCCTAAAGGCCCCACCTCCTGACACCATCCATCACATCAGGGGTTAGGGTTTCAGTGCTTGAATTGGGAGGGTGGAGAGGACAGGGACATAAACGATTAGTCCATTGCAGCAGATGAGTTCAGTTGGTATATTGGGTGAGCAGACGTGGTGGCTTTATTCTGGACAGCCCTTGGGGACTGGCGATGGTGGTGTCCGACCCAAGACTGACTGACTTGATTGATGATCTGACGGAGGAGGTCAGAAGGGTGGGCCTCCTTTGTGGGGTTTCCAGACCTGTCACCTTGACTGGTAGCCCTAGCCTGTCTGGAAGTGCACTGGTTCATTTCCACTAACCTGCGAGGTGGCTGTTTCTTCTTGTCCCCCACCTGCCCCCTTACAGACCACCAGCCAGACGGAGCTGGAAAACTGGATCACCGCCATCCACTCTGCCTGCGCAGCTGCGGTCGCTAGGCATCACCACAAAGAAGACACTCTCCGGCTCCTGAAGTCAGAAATCAAAAAACTGGAACAAAAGATTGATATGGACGAGAAGATGAAGAAAATGGGTGAGATGCAGCTGTCTTCAGTCACCGATTCAAAGAAGAAGAAAACTATATTAGATCAGGTAATCATTCTTCTGTGGTTAGACGTGGGTGAAATCGTTAGGTCTTTCAAGGTTTTCTGCTGTCTCAGGAGCCCGAAACTTCATCCGTTACCTCCTTGTCAGCCTGTCATCCTGGCTGCTGAATTCTTTGTTGTGACTGTCAGTTTTCCTCGCCCATTGTGCGCCATTGATTGTTATGAGCTAAAGGGAACAATATCACATTGAACGGAAGACAAACATCTAATAGACGAGCCTTCCGCTCCTGCTGGTGTGCCGTTCTCGGCACCTGTGTAATTGGAAAGTCTGCACTTTCGTTCCCTGTGTTATCGGGGGGACTTGGAGCTGTGGTGGGGGCCCATTCCTGACCCCCTCAATAAACTTAGGATTCTAAATCTAGAGAAGGTAGAGTGCAATTTGAAAAGTGCGAATGCAATTGCTGTCGGTCAGCGTAAGTATATTTCATGCTATAAAGGAATGATTGAGATAATAGAGGACATTTGGGCCTCGTCTTCAATTGTTTTCAAGTCAGTCAGAGCCACCTAGTAGTGCTTTGAAACTTTGTCCTATTATGTGAACAAATGTCTTTTAAGGAATTTGAATAATGAACAGTTGATGGCATGTGTTTCTCTCCCTCTATATTTTCCTTCTATACTCGATGCTGTATATATATTTTAATGGAGGCCAAATTCATAGAGCATAAAATTAACCAATCCATGGCATTTAGTCCATTCACAATGTTGAGCATCTATAGCCTCTATCTAGTGCCAAAATGTTGGCATCTACCCCAAAAGGAAACCATACCTGGTAAGCAGGCTCTCCCTTCTGCCCCTGGCATTCTGTCTCTATGGATTTACCAATTCGGGATGTTTCATGTAAGTGAAATTGCATTACACGTGACCTTTCGTGTCTGACTTCTTTCACTTGGTATGATGTTTTGGAGATGGGGGGTCCACATTGTAGCATGTGTCAGGACTTCCTTCTTTTTGATGAGACTTCTTTCACTTGGTATGATGTTTTGGAGATGGGTCCACATTGTAGCATGTGTCAGGACTTCCTTTTGATGGCCGAATGCTATTCCACTGCATGTATACGCCACAATTTCTCCCTTCATCTGTTGATGGACATTTGAGCTGTATCCACTTTTGGGCTGTTGTGGGTAGTGCTCTGAACATGTGTGTGCATTAACACTGTATTTTAAGTCAAAGTAAAGAGGTAGGTGTGAACCATTAATCATTATCCACATCACCAAGCCTTCGCGATGGGCCAGACTCTGTACCGAGTCTTATTCTTACATTATCCAGCTTAAACATCTCATCAGCCTTAGGAGGCCAGGATTATTTTGCCATTTTGAGAAATGTGGCGATGTACCCTATGGTCGGGACCACCTAGTCCAGAGACTGCGTCTCTACCACGCAGTGGCTTCCACTTCCACCCTGTACCCTCTGCCATCCACCTCTTCCCAAAACCTCTTGGTCTCTTTGCCTCAGATCTTTAATTCACCTCACTTTTCTTCTCTTTGTCTTCCCATGAAAAGCCACCTCTTGGTAAGTCATATAATTCTCCAGCGCTGAAAATCCTACATTTTTTTTTACTTCTGCCTTGGGTGTATGGTCCAGAGCCTGGAGCTGATGGACCTTGTACTACCTGCAAACATAGACCTGTGTCCTTCTACCTGTGGGAGAACACAAAGCAGCTAACGATATACTTCCTATGTATCATTCAGAATTTATGGCTATAGATCTTTGCAGGAAAACACGTAAGTTGTGAAAACAATAATATTTGACATTCTCTTACCTAAGACACTTATGGTACCTGTCGTTTCTCCCTTAGGATTAAAATCAAGACCTTTACAACGTATACATTTGTAATATTTGTGTAGGATAAAATTAACGCTTGTTTCCCCCTTTCCTCACCATTTTTCCCCCTTTATTTTCGTTGTTGTAGATCTTCGTTTGGGAGCAGAATCTTGAACAGTTCCAAATGGACCTATTTCGTTACCGGTGTTACTTAGCTAGCCTCCAAGGTGGGGAGCTGCCAAACCCCAAAAGGCTCCTTGCTTTTGCAAGCCGACCAACGAAAGTGGCAATGGGCCGTCTTGGAATCTTTTCTGTATCATCTTTTCATGCCCTGGTGAGTAGCAGATGATGTAGTTTTGAAAAATATTCATCTTGACTGTTAATCCTCAGCAGGACTTGATAAGAGCCTCTAAGGTATTTTTCTAGTTTGCTGCTGTGTGTGGATTTCTGATGTGTTCTCTCTCTGCAGTGGATGCAAATCTTCCTTTGACTCTATTCCAGAATTGATTACTTAAGCCTCTCTTGATGGGGCCTAAGTTATTGTGCTAAGAAAATATGAACGGTATTGTCTTAAGAGATCTCTTTGCATGTAGTGTTTATTGATAACTTATGGCATCTTTGGATGGGTTCTGTTTTAACCCAAATACATATTTTCATATTAACTTTATAGACATGGTAAGTAGAGAGCTCTCTCATACATAAATGTGTGCTCTCTCTCTCTCTCTCACAAACACGTGGAAACATGTACGGTGTATATTAAACCCAGATCTCTTTGGCGATCTCTCTTTACATTTTATTTTCATCCTAGTTTTCATGGCCATAAACACCTAATGCATTAGAGGAAAACGAAGACCTTTTATGACTTAACCAGCCCAACCAATGTATTTGCTTGGGGAAGAGAATTTTCATCTGACCTCCAGAGCGGCAGATTGTATAGTTGTGTTGTGTGTTTGCAATCTGTAATTTCATGTACTAGCTAAATTGCAAACAGCTTTATCTACTTTTGGCTCCTTCTCAAAAATTGCTCTGCGAGTAATACGGTTTTAGTGTGTTCAAGTCAACACCCACTTAAAACGTACTGCACCTTAGCACATTTGCTGTGGAATTAAATGTGAAGTCTCAGGTTCCAGAAACTGCTTTGGAAAACCTTAGCTCTGCTGCTCTTGGCTTGCCACGTCAGCTGTACCCATCAATTGAATTCGGAGCTGTAATTCAGTCAGAGGCATTTGTATTCTTTATAAATAGATTACCATCATCATTCAGATAATTAGGGTAGATTTACATTTTTAAAGAAGTCTTAAACCAATTTCTGGAGTTATTAAAACTGGCATCCTGATTTGTTCTGCTAATTACAGCTCAGCTCTCGGTTTCCCTGGCTACCACCTCTCGGTATAGCTATCAAGTCCTATTTTTTTATTTTATTTTAGTGGTGATGGGTCAAAGTGCTGTGATGAATAAATCTTGCAAGTAGTTTTCAGTTTGTATCTCTAAGACTGTTCCTCTCAGACCTGGACACTAATTTGTAACTTAGCCAAAACTCAGTTTGCCTGTTCTGCAAAAAAGTTGAGACAAATTCGGATTTACCTCCTTGTAAGAAGGTAATAATCGAGGGGGCATTTTTGTTAAGGTGATGCCAGTGAGGCAGTATCAGTGTCAATATTAAATCTTGAGCATCCAAAAGGTCCTTTCCTCTTACTGGGCTTGATACATTTTGAAGGAAATACTTTTGCTGTCTACCTAAAACTTCTGTACTTTAATTATTTCCTTCAAAGCCATAGAAACTAACCTCTGAGAAAGGGAAGTAAAAGCCCCACTATATTACCCTTCTATCTTTTGTCTTCGGACCTTCTAATTTCCTTCATCTCAGAATCTGTGATTTGCGTGTCCTTTTCTTTGGATGAGCTGGCCAACTGGAGACGGCAGGTGGGAGGGTTAGTAACGCTTTGAGATTTTTTTTGGTCAGTGATTTTAAAGAAAAATATTTAATTCTGTATGTACAGCTCTCTGTTCCTTTGTTTTTTGCTGTTGTTGTTGTTGTCAGTGATGCACATCTGTGTGTCTGTTTTCCATGAGGGGTTTCACTGCAGACAGAACAAGTTAGGCGAGCCTGTCCGGCATCCATTCCTGTTCACTATTCCTCTGGGCAGGGAATTTTACAGTCTGATCTATTGGATATTTATTTTTTCCTCCTCTCATTGTCGTTTGACCCCAGGGAATTTTTTTTCCTCTGGGGGTTGAAGTATTCTTCAATTTAGCCTTTGTCCATTTTTCTCCCTCCTTTTAAGTGGGGGGCTCAGGAGAAGGAGGTGTGAGGGCGACAGGGCTTGGGGAAGATATTTGAGCTGTAGTTTAAGCAGCCTTCACCAGGAAGGCTTCCCATGATGCCCGGTGATTTGCAGTAATTAACTGAAGGGTCCCCGCTGTACTCTTTGAAAGAAGGTTATCATTGTTCGTGTTTGCACAGATGAGCAGAATGATAGAGTAATCAGGTTCTGGCCACAAAGGGAGGCATTGTCTGGGCAAAGATCACTGAGAAACTCATGAGCTCTTGTCCAGTCGGGCTTTTGCCAGCTTTTTTTTTTTTTTTTTTCTTTCTTTTCTTTCTTTTTCTTCTAAATCCCTTTGCTCATTTTGAGTCATTATTGTCGTGGGGATAGCAGTTCCGTTTGCAGTTTACAAGGCCCCCAACAGTTTAGGGGAGTTACTATACGAACCTTAAATAAAGTGCCATTTGTTAAACAGACTCTCGGGTCAGCTGGTAACTGAGAATATTTATGGTTGTTTGAGATTCTCTTCTAGGCTTTGCTTTTCTAAAATTGTAAACAAAAGGATGACTGTTTAATTGTTAGGACCGTGTTATGTAGTATTTCTGTGTTTGCTTTTTGATGTTTTTTTAATTTATTCATTCAACCAGCACATATATTTTTGTGTGTGTGACACGTGTCAGTTACTATCTAGGGTTATGGCAGCAAACAGCCCAGAGTTCCCGTCTTATATTCTGATATTTTTATATATAATAGAATCTTACAGGAGAGATGGATAATATATAAGCAATTAAATAAGAACAATAGATACAGATATTGATTGATATGCTATGAAGGAGGAACACAGAGTAATATGTGTATGTGTTTGCCTGTATATGTTGCATGTGTGTGTATCTATGGATCGATTTAGCTATTTATAAATGGATATATCACGATGGGACCAAATGCACATTTTTTTCCTCTAGGGTTTTTGCCTTTAACACCATTTATTCACTGGTGCTTAGCCTCATTTTCTGATGATTGGCTTACCTGACACAGACACTGTCATGTGAGCACAGGTGTATGCCAGCACTTTATCATTGATTCCTTTTACAGCCTTCGTTTACCTTTAACTTAGAGAAGGATGAAAATAGAGGAAATGCTTACATAGTTAACGGAAACATGCGCCTTTCGTTTTGTGGTTTTCCTTCCCCACAATACCTGGAGCATCATAACTGTGGATTGGAGCGCTTGGAGTTTTCTCACCGCTGTCTTGGATGCCAAATTAACACAGGCCATGATCTAAGTTTTCTTACCTGCTAAGCTGAGAAAATACAACACCTCTCAGCTTTCTCATCTTCTTGTTTTTATTTGGGGCCAAGACCTTCCCCCTAATCCCCTTGCAGGGAAGCTGTTTTGATTTCTGTTTTTATTATACGTGGAGGTTTTTGCCAGTCTGCTCACCCGGCTTTTCAGGGTGTTTATCCTGTTAATACTGAAAACCCCAAAGAGGCCTGCCTTCCAACCAACACGCTGACTGCTGAGGAGGCCCCTAGTGTACCCAACAGTATTTCACCCCCGAGTTGCTGCCAGTTGGCAGCTGTCATATTGGGGAGTTGCCCGTGTGGGAATCTGTGACAACAAGTGAGTTCCAAGACATTCATCTCCAGCCACAAAGAGCGGGTGGGGAAGTTTCATTTCAAGTCTGACTCGCTACACATACTCCTGAAAGGAGAGCTCGTGGGTGGCTTATTGAGACATCCTGGCAGAAGTTCCCTTAGGTTCCTCATTCCTGAGACTTTGCTTGCAACCTGTGGGATAAAGTCTAAGCCTGAGTGTTTGCCTGGGATGCACGTTATGGAGTCTTCACAGTGATCCAGCGTCTCCTGGAGCAGTTATCACAGTGGCAGTTTTAGAGTTGGAGTGTTGCCTTCGCAAATAAATAGTCTAGGTTGCTGGGACCTTGCAGATACCTCAGTGGAGTTTAGTTGATGCTGCTGCTGCTTCTTCCTCCTCCTCCCTTCCTCGTCCTCCTCCTCCTCCTCTTCTTCTCCTTCTCCTTCTCCTAGCAAAATACCTCAACATGGGACACGCAAGGCTAATAAGGTGGCTTTAGCATCTTCGTAGACCCAGGATTCTTCTGTCTTGTTCTGCCATCCTTGAAAAGATTTCTGTCTAAATGTCTCAGACCAGCGAATATATAGGCCTTCCTGTCATCGGGCAGGAGGAAAGTGAAGGATAATGGAAAACCTCCTCTTTTTGAGGATGATTGATTCCTGGAACTGTAGATAAACCTTTTACTGAATTCTCATTGACCAGAACTTAGTCATAAGCCCATGCAAAATAAGTCGACTTTGTGTGGCCACATGCTCAGGTAGATTTGGGGTTTCTCTGATTGGGAAAAGAGGAAGACTGATATTGGAGGACAACTATTACTCCCCTAATAAGGAAAATGATTTTATGAAATTCTGAGAAAACTAACTAGGAGAGATTGGTAAATTTAGACTTACTATGGAATCACAGGAACCAAAGTGTGGTGTCTCACTATTTTTGCCAATATTCAAGCACCATTTTTTCATTAGAGTGAAGAAACAGCTCGGTAGCACGTGGGAGAGAATATCAAGAAAGTATGGTTAGTTTGAGTTCAAGAGTTCAAGCCTGTGACTAGAAGGGTATCTAATTCTTAGAAACATAACATATATATCCTATTACTAGTTTATGTATTTTTACTGACAACTTCAGGCAATGATTGTGTTTGTCAAGTTTTCATTTACATTTTGAATCCAGGAAGGGCCCTCAAAAGTTCTAGTGTGTACGAGTCAAGGATTAAATGCTTGGGTGTTGGGCGGCAGGTAGAGGAGCGGTTTTTGAAGGGTGAGACTCGGTGGGGTCCTTGACGACCAGGTGTGTGGTCTTGACACATCTGTCTTGCTGATGTCCCCCCTTGCTGTCCTCAGGTGGCAGCTCGCACTGGTGAAACTGGAGTCCGACGACGTACTCAGGCCATGTCCAGATCCACAAGCAAGCGAAGGAGCAGGTTTTCTTCTCTTTGGGGTCTGGACACTACCTCCAAAAAGAAGCAGGGACGCCCAAGCATCAATCAGGTAGGTACCAGGGGGGACGAAAAAGCAAGCACAGATTGCTTCCATGGCTACCTCACTTTGGGATGCGCATGTGTGTGTGCATGTGCATGTATTCACTGACACTGAGTGTTATTTAGAATCAACTAGTTGACACAAAGATGTTAGTTGTGGTAGATGCTTTAAATAGATAATGTATACGCCTAACATTGAACTCTGCTATTAGTCTATCACCAAGCTCCAGTCTCCCACCTGCATCCTTTCCAAACCCTGGTTAATTACAGACCTACTGAAAGTGCACAGTTTATCCCGAGTCTTTCAAAAAAAAAGCAGGGTTTGATGATGAAGCCAAGTGGGCACCTGAGCACAGAATCTTTTCAAGCTGCCTCTGGCGCCAGATCAAGGGCAGCCTCCAGGGGAATCTGATTGTTTCTTTGCCCTTGACTTTTTGGGGTTGACGTTAAGTGAGCAGCTTCTCTGCCTACTGGTATGAGGAAGCAGAATCGGAGAGTGCTCATTCAACACCAAGACTCTCTACTACCCAGGTACTAGGGCTGGAAGGGGATCTCAGCACCTCCTGAATGTCGGGCCTCTGATAAACCAGGTTGTGACCTCATCAATTTTACTCTTTGACTAGCCAAGGCCACTTTACTGCTAGAATTAACGTCTAGGAAACATTCTCTCCATTGTCGTTGTCATCCTTCTTTGGCTTTGAGAAACGAGTTTGCCCCAGAACTGCTTCAGCGTTTAGGGACTGAAGGAACATAGGGATCTGTCTTTCGGAGAGGAGAATGTCAAGTACACGGGCTGCAGTGGCTAGAAAGTGCGGCCTCGGGCATTCTTGAGGCCATGATGACGACTACCGATTCGACTCGTTCACTCTGAGCCCTTATGCTAAGTGAGAAGAGTTCGATTGACCGACTCGATAAAGAGATCCCTTATTATTTGTTCTGACAATACTAGCCATTAGTTTTCTGAAGGACTGAAATGGAAGAGAGAAATTAAACCTAAGCTAATGTACTAATAAGTCTTTCGCTGACCAGCACACTCATCTACACCCGGGGTGTCTGTGTCCTTGACGGGCTCTGAAGGAGATCAGGTGAGCCTGCTGTGGTTCTGTGGTCTTTGGGGAAAGTAGAACATTAAGTTTGCTACCATGAGTTTTTCTTCTCTATAAATCGAAGTAGAAATCATTTGAAGGAAAGCCATTATTTCATCAGCTAAATCACACTAGAGACGTGATGGCCCTTGATTATACCTGCAAAAGGGGGGCCTTCGCCATCAGCATTTCTACCCTTTTTTTGAGGGGTGGTGGTGTCAGTTGTTATGCATCCTATGTCATTGCAGCTGACTCAGATCACCGCTAGGTATATGTGTCAGGATTTCGGTCAGGACTTCCCAGTTTGCAACTCGGTTTGAACTTCTCTTTCATCAAAAGCTTTAGTTCATGTGCTTCTAATTCTTTCCGCTCCAAGTCATGTTACAGCCCATTGCTGCTGAAATATACAAGCAAATTTAAATAAATCTAAGAGAATGTTTTCACATTTTTTTAAAAATCAAAGGGCGATGTCATATCTTATAAGCAATTCTTGTTATTCTCTCTTAAAGTAAGAGTTATTTTAAAAAAAAAAATGTAGTGCTTAGCCATAAACATACCAATAGAAATGTACTTGATTTAGTACTTTGAAATGGACACAAATTGTATGTTTTTTTTTTTTTTTATCTCATTTGCATTGGGGCAAAGACTTTTTCTTAATCGGTTTATTATCCTGACAGTACATGCTCGTTGAGAGCCAATATATAAAATTTCTCATGTCCACATGGCTAAGCACTACATTTTTTTTTAAAAACATGACTATCCAGGGGCATCATTACCCTATTATGACTTTAGTTGTATCTTTAAGTTAGCAGGATTCATTAAATTTCAAAGAATAGACAAATTGCTGTTTTGTATATGAAAAAAGAATTTTCTGTGGTGTTATAGTTAAAAATATATAAATGTCCAGTCTCAATTTCTACTCAACAGAGTATTAAAAAGCGAACTGATTATTTTGGCTAGATATCTGATCCAGTAGATGAGCCTAGAGCAGAAATTCTACATCGTGAACAAATCTAATTCATTGCTTTTATAAGTTCATTTTTTTAAAATTTAGGTGAATTCTCCAGATCTGAAGGCAAACGGTTTGTTTTTTTTTAAATTGTCAAAGATATGGGAAGTGATCTAGATAGAAGAACATGATCTGTTACCGTAAAACTTACTACCCGCGTTAGGATTTGATGTAGGTGCATCTGAAAACTAATTTCACGTTTTCTAATAGCCATGCCCATTTTCCAGTCCCCATCCCATGTTTCATTTGCCCTCTTGCCCACATTTCTTAACGCGATACTTTTGTATTTGCAGGTGTTTGGGGAGGGAACTGATGCTGTAAAGAAGTCTTTAGAGGGAATATTTGATGACACTGTTCCAGATGGCAAGGTAAAAATAAACGCATGTTTCTTTTCTAAAAGTACCACAAGTACATCAACATTGCACAATGCCATAGTTTCTCGGGATCCTAAAATTAACTAGACTCAGTTATTAAAAACTGAAGTGATCAGTTCTTTAAAGTTATGTAACAGGTCAACAAGAGATAGAAAAGCATTTTATGCTTAAAACTTGATTACCATTAGAACATTCTCCTGCTGGTATAGAATTTTCATGACTTATCATTTGAATGTGTTAAATTTCCCTCCAGAATTTAAGAAAAGATTGGGGTTCTGGGGAGCTGAACATTTTATGCCATTGCTAATTCATTTTATATATAACTTTCATTCCCAAGAGGTGAGTTTTTTTTGCCCTCCCTCTCTGCCCAAAACATGCAATTTTGCTCCCATTTATTCCAAAGACTGTTCTGATAATAAGTTCTTTAAAAAAAAAATGCATTTGCCTCCCAAGACAAGTATTCGATTAAAGATTCACAGACTTGGCTCAATCTTGTGCTTGGACTTACAAGGGGTTTTCAGATGGCTCTGATTGAAGACCCATGAAGAATATTGATTTTTTTTTTCCCCTGGGCCGCTTTTGTCTAGCCTCTAAGTTAATGGACAATCCCGAGTTTTAAGTCCGACCTACTGATACGAACAGCCTCTTTGTTATGGGTGTTCTGATGTTGATAACGTGACCTTGTATGATCCTCTGGTTCCTAGACCCAGAATCAATATGACAGAAGTCAGTGCTCAGTTGCCATGCAACAGAGTAGCGGTGGTCAGCAGTGGCTCAGACCCCTGTTGTGGATGGAGCTGAGCCTCTGAAACCAGAGTACCGTGCCGCGTCCTGGCTAGTGAAGGGCAAGGAGAGAAGAGTGGCCTTGGGTCAGGCCCGTTCTTCCTTTCATATCCAAACTACTCCTGGATTGTGTCATCATGGATACAAAAGCGGCTGTCCTTGTAAATACCCATCCAGGACATTCTCTTTGCCCACCCGTCTGTTTCGGATGAAATTAAATTGCTGTACCTGTTGCATTTCAGGTATCGTTTTTGGTGTTTACGTAGCCATTTCTGAAGTTAGCTAATTCATCTTGCATATCATTATTAGTGCACTTTTAATGTTGGGATTTCCTCTCCACGCACAGATTCTGGAAACTGCAAAAGTTTTTCCATTGATTTCCGTGCTGCTTTTTTGTTTGTTTGTTTTTCCAGGGTAATTCTTCATCCTACTTCTCATTTAGAATGCCTCGTTCCCAAAGAGCAGTTTAGATGTAAAACTTCGGCTGATCTAGTGCTAAGGGGCGTTTATTTAACGTGGCATGTGGGGACAGAATGGGACGATTTCAATTCTAGTTAATGGGATTTAGGCAAGCCGATTGCTTTTTGACAATTCCTATCCTGGGGTTCAATTTAGCTGTGAAAACACCACCATTCAATGGTAGAACTGAAATTGTCTTCTCAACTGAATTTAGTTTAGTAGCCTTTACAAAAATATTTCCCCCATTCTGGGATCTGTTCTTTCACATATGCAAGTTGTTATGGTACCACTTCAGCCTTTGTATGAAATTTGCCGCTGCTTATAATTTGTTGGTACCGGCCTTATACATAGACATGTATTTACCTATCAGTGGCCTGGTTTTAAACCAATAATCAAGGCTTATTACTTAGCATATATTGAGAATCAATATTGTTTTTGCCTTGCTGAAACCTAACATAATTCTTCCTTTGCTTATTTCAAAGAGATTCGGCTGTTAGTATTTCATCAGTCGATGGAGTGTTTTCTGTTTTAGCTGTTTAACTTGCTTAGATATAACCCAGCTGCTGAATATGTACATAAGACACATTTTCTCCCATCCTTATGACTTGGTGCTACTCCCTGACCCTTGGTGCTACTCCCTGATCCTCAGAGTGATGTAGGGGATTGAGTGATGGCAACAGCCTAAGAAGTTCGTAAAGCTCATCCTTGAAGTTCTCTAAACCTCATCTGGGAGATGGAGCTGTCTCTCTCCCAGATTTGTGCCAGAGGTCAAATTCAAGCACGAAAATGATACTACTTGTAAAAAGGTAGTACTAGAACCTCATCTTTTCTGTAAAAATTTCCTTGGTGCCTCACTATTGCCTTTGAAACAGAGCTCACATAGCAGACATTCTCGCTGTAGGAGTTCTCCATTCTAAATTCGAAATGCGTTTATGAAGGAACTGATAACAATACAGCTGAGTGGAATGGATGGCCCACTTCTTTCTTGCTTTCTTCCAAATTTCAGTACCCACTCATTCATGCAATACCCACCTGTGTGTGTCGTGGACCCTGTGTGAGGTCAACTACATATCTGAGAAATTTCCCACCCTTCAATAAAGTAATTTCTTCCTTGCCTTGAAGATTCTCCTTTGTCCTTCACCACCGCCATAACTTCTGCTTTGGTTCTTTTTCACAGGAATAGATAATCCCTCTGTGCGATCTGGGGATGGGGGCGGGGGGTGGGTCTAAGATCATTAGAGACCAACTGTTGCTGCTCTGCTAACTTTATTGCTTTTTGCAGAGGGAGAAAGAAATGGTCTTACCTAGCGTCCACCAGCACAATCCTGACTGTGACATTTGGGTCCATGAGTATTTCACTCCGTCCTGGTTCTGTCTGCCGAATAATCAGCCAGCCCTGACGGTCGTCCGGCCGGGAGACACTGCCCGGGACACCCTGGAGCTGATCTGCAAGGTATGAGGCTCCTTGGGATTGTTTCCTTGAGAAGTGCGGATGGGATGGAGGAAGCTTCTCAGGCACATGTGGCAACTCAGAGGCATGTGGGAGAGGAAGGTGCTTTAAAGCACACCTCCATCTCATTCCAGAGCAGCTTTGGTTTCCTTTATGAAAAGATGCATAACGAAGTGAATTCTTCATCTTTGGGAGGAGAGGAATTCTTTTAAGTAGCTTCTTTCAATATTTCAGTATTTGATTTATAATAAGCATATTATATGCTCGTGGCAAAAATTTTAGAAAATTTAGGTAAAGAACACAGCAGACAGTTGAGGCCACTCTTTCTCACAAGATCTAGAAATAATCACTGTAAACCTTGTGGCGTTTGTCCTTCCATTCTCTTCTACACACACGTGCGTGTTCACACACACACACACGTGCGCATATTTAATGGTGTCGTATTCTGTGCAGTGTTTGTAACTTGCTCCTTAACAGTAACTCATACACTATGGCCCTTTTTAGGGTAGGGAAAAACTGAGGTAGAGACAAGTTTGACCTCCATTATGGGAAATTCCTCTTCCTTTGACCACATAATTAGCATCTTTTGGAGAAGGGGCACTGACAATGATTGAGCTCACTTTCTCTACCCTCACCTTTAGCTGCAGAAACGTGTCAACCTTTTTCAAGGTGAACCTGGTTTCATTTTTTATCCCCCAAGGGTGGTCAGATGAATGGCTTCGAGTGAGAGAAGGGAAAGAAGAAATAAAGGAGTTTTTCTTGCATGCCCGTTTTTACTTTTACATAATTAATAGCACTACTAGTCTTATTTAGTCGTCATTTCAAGTCTGAGAAAGAGCTGATACTTCCTCGTTGTACAGACGGAGAAGCTGAGGCTCAGGGACTTAGGCACATTCCTTGCTGGAGTTCAAATCACAGTCAGTCAGTTGCAAAGGAGGGACTGAACCCACATCGGTTTGCTCCAAATGTGGGTGTGTCCCTGTGTGCCAGGTGGGCAGTCACTGGAACTGTCAGAACCCGGGTCAGTCATCAGGAAGGACAATCCTTAAGAAAGGTCCACAAAGTATATCCTCATGGGAATGAAACTGTCTTCTCTGGAGTGACTAAAGGAAAAACGGAAACCTTTTCTGTCATAATTTTGTCCTGGAAGAGGTTGGATGGATGGATCAGTGACATTTTTAGGATCTCCTTCAACACAATGGCTCATAGATACCAAGTCACTTTCACTACCTCAGCAAGTACTTCAATTCTATAATTCTGTAATCAGCAATTTTTGTATATTTTTTAAACAAGTTACCAAGGACTTT